AGTTGGAAGCAGGAGGGATGTGGGTCAGGCATCTGCATGTGCTACTGAATTCGATTGATGGTTCTTGATTGCTGAGTAATTCCTGTTAGTTGTTATATGTGCTGCTGAATTCTCCAGTAGGGACTTGATTCATGTTGGTTGCTGACTTCGTTGTTGATTGTTGATTGTCGAGAGAAAATCCAAGTGAGCGGTTGCATGCTGGCGCTGGCGATGCATCTTCTCCCGCCCATGCAGCCTCCCCACTATGCCTCCACACCCAGATTTGAGTCCTCTCGGTCTCCATCCCCCGTCTATGGTCGGCAACAACAATCATAATGATAGCGAAGTGGTGCGACCAGGGGATGGCATACATACGTTGTTGCCGTCGGCTGGCCTCTGCTCGCATTCAGGAATGATGCGTGTTTGCTTTACTGTAGGTGCTTTGGCGCTCTGTATTTGCTTGTTGTAGATGCTCTGCTTCCTCTGTTTGCTGCTTTGTCGTGTAGCAATCAGGTGGTTTGTAGCTGCTGATGTAATCCAAGATGAAGCAGGCACACATGTGGACGCTGCTTCTCGCTTGTCTAGCTGCAACTGATCGCTGGACAATCACTTAGGGCAGTATCATTGCCATATAATTATTGTAGAGTTGTGTAAGTTTGATTCATGAATGATAGGACCAAGGAAGGATAAATGAAATGCTTTGCAGTTCAAAAGAGAGTTAACAATGATTTAACGACGTTGGATGGCTGAATGTGCTCCTAAAGAAGGTCTGTATGAACATATCAAGCAAGTCCTGCTAGCAATGCTTCATTCATACAACTGTTTCTTGTGTTGTTACTTCTATAGTGAGTGACAAGTTTGCAATCTCATATATGCAGAGGTCGGCTGCTAACAGGTTCCAGGTGGCTGGGATTGAGGAAATTATATCAGGAAACGAGTGAGCCTTTTGTTTTGTGGTTCAGCAACGTTCTCTATTATAGTGTACATTATATTTGTTTCCTTCTCTTTTTATAATTGTAACTGAATCTTTTCTCTCTTAACATATTGAAATCAAGACTGTTTTTCTTAAATGAATTTACATTTTTAATGCTTTAAAGCACTATAAAATCTCATGTTGAGTGTGTAAATTCCCATCATTTTGTTGTTATGGAGCTCTAAAAATTGACATTTTTCTTACATTTCCTTGCTCTTAATTTTCATATCTGAACTGTGATCATTGCTTACCAATTCTCACATCCATTTCTATCAGTTTTACAAGGATGCATCCCTTTTTACATGGGGAAGCAGATAACAATAACGAACCAAGCAAGATGACTATGGTGCGTGACCTCAAGCTGTGATAGGACAAAAACTGGATCTTCTGTGCCCGTTGAAGATGAGATGGATGAAGTTACTGATGAAGCAATTGGTGCAAAGCTCAATATTTTATATACACAGAAAAGGGCAATTTCTTCAGAACTTGCCACTGCTCATGCATGTGAAAAGAACATAGCTGATAAAAACAAGTCTCTTAAGCACAAGGTAAGGAAGTCATTCTCGGAGAAGCAGAGATTGTTGTAACAACGCTTAGTGGGTGTGGAGGTGATATTTACGGAGTTTGCTCGGAAACTGCTTCAACTAAGAAATATGGAAATTTCTCTGAGCAAGCTTTATTTGATGTTTTTGTTATCGATTTAAGCTGCACAGGTGGGGTCTCGGACTCTCAATACAAACTATCCTCTTTCAAATCAAGCTAGCTTTATATTTAATATTTATTATATGCTAAACACTAAGCTTCTTTTGGTTTACTCATATTTAGGCTCTTGAGCATGCAACTTTGATTCCACTTTAGCTACTCAAGTCAAAAGGAACTAAGTGCATAATGGTAACATGCTCTCTTTTAAAACATTTCTGATTAAATAATAGTTTTTAGCTACACCTTGAAGCAACATTACAGTGCTATCTCTTACTTAGTAATGTCTCTTTTGAAGGTTGGTGATCCGAAGCAGCTACCTGCTATCTCTTACTTAGTAATGTTACTTCTTAAAGTGCATGTCAAACCATGTTGTAATTCTTGGATTTTAGTTTTCGGTGTGCCATATCTTTTTTACATTTATGTCCTAAAAATGTTCCGATTCCAATGATGAGAAACCTTATGCAATTTTATGTGAAAACAATAGCAACCTCATTAACATGATTACAAGTAACAAGTTGCGCATACATAGTTCCCGTGTGTTGTTTGAGTATGCCATTCTTAATGGATTACTAAATTTGTATGTGAGAACTAAGAAGAGCTATCAACTGCAGGCCATATGCTAATTTCTCAATTATTTTGTATTGTCTGCAGTACCGAATGCATCCTTACATTAGCAGATTCCCATCGTTGCATTTCTATGAAAACAAACTGCTGGATGGTGCTCAGAAGGCTGAGAAATCAGATCCTTTCCATGATCACCGTTGTCTTGGTCCATACATGTTCTTTGATATTGCCGATGGTCATGAGCATGCTGGAACAAGTGCTGCTGCACAATTACTCTCTAATCAATTTGAAGCTGGTGCATCACTTGAAATACTGTCATTTTTAAAGAACAAGTAAGAGTATTGTCTTTGCTTGCACAGTTTCACTTCCTACTGGAGGGGGTCTTATTTTGCAGGTAACTGAGGATACTTGCTTTGTGAATAGATATCCAACAGATTTCTCCTGTAGAAAGATAGGGATCATAACTTATGGCTATGTTGTGGAAGAGTTCTTGCGGGTAGCATCTTTCCATTGTCTGTAAATTGATGTATAAAGCGGGCATTCCATTCTTTATAAATTGATAGATAAAATGGATGCATGTGTGAGCTTGAGAAAGAAGGAGACGACAAGTGAAAGACTGAGAAGACCAGGGATTCTTCTTTGCCAGCCGTAAGGTGGAGGCGTTGCTTAGGGAACATGTGCGTACATCCTTGCTCCTTTTATTCTTCCAGTTTTAGGTACTTTCCAGCAGGCTTGTACGGAGTACCTATCTTGCTATGTACTGAATTATTTGCAACTATGTAGCAAACTATATTAGGAGATCCAGATATATAATGCGTCTGTGTACAACAACAACAACAACAACAAAGCCTTTAGTCCCAAACAAGTTGGGGTAGGCTAGAGGTGAAACCCATAAGATCTCGTAACCAACTCATGGCTCTGGCACATGGATAGCAAGCTTCCACGCACCCCTGTCCATAGCTAGCTCTTTGTCGATACTCCAATCCTTCAGGTCTCTCTTAACGGACTCCTCCCATGTCATATATAATGCGTCTGTGTATGAATTAATTATTACCATCACCTAGCTAGCTTGTTACCTGAAAGATCGAGGTGAACTTTTATTGTATGGATGTTGTGTCGCTGGAATTCTGTGATGTTTCAGGAACACATTGTTTTTTCATTTTTGGGACTTCATGTGAGTTTTGGGCCGTGGCTCCCTCAAATCAAGTCGGATCAACACTCACTCCCTGTATGTTAAGATGGTCCTTAATTAATGCTATAATCTTATATATGATGACATTCAGGGATACTTTCCACGCCTTGCTCCTCTTTAGACTTCTAGGTACTTTCCAGTAATCAATTTGCAACTAGAACACAACGTGTCAGCAATTGTTCCCCAGTAAACGAGGTGAGTGTTGAAACTTTTATACTGTAAAGACATGTTTTAAACTTTTAAGTTCTAACAATAGTAGTACCATTGATACAGATAAGTTGCTTGAATATTAGTTTTGGTATAGTAGAAAAATGATATATATAGTATATATATGTTATTTTTCACTTTTTGTTATTTCTTTATTTACGTGTTAAAAAACATGCCGCCGAGCCCCCTCTTCCTTCTTCCCGATCAATCTGCTCCTTCCCCAAAAGGCATTGTCTCGGCGTTGCTAGGCACGGGACTAAGGCGCCTGCTGCAGTGTCAGGCCAGGGGCAAATCTCTCTAGCCTCTGTGCATGCGCCCTGGGTTGCCTAGCACCATTAGTGATGGTGGCGAAGAGAAGTGGCAACATGGATGGATCACTAGGGGCATATGAGAATTATTTCTCCCGTTGCAACGCACGGACATTTTTGCTAATAATTTCAAATATATGATGACTAATTAAACTGGACAGCATGACATAATTTCTCATGTATGATGGCTAACTAAACAGGATAGAATGACATACTTCAAAATATGATGACTATGTAAACAGGATGACATGATATAACTATATGATCTGTCTATTAAAGTGGTTGGCATGCCATAAATCACAAACATGCCATCGATGGAAACATGATGGCATGATATAATTCACGGATAGAATGACATAATTCAAAATATGATGACTATGTGAACAAGATGAGATTATATAACTATATTATGTCTTTAGAAAATGGGTTGGCATGCCATAATTCAGATACATGTTGTCTATGTAAACATCATGTCATGATATAATTCAAATATATGATTTGTATACTAAGGAAGTGAGCAGAGGGCAAACGCATATATGATGTGTCAACTAAAGAGATGGCATTCAATATTGTGTATATAATGTAAAAACTAAGCATTGCAATACAACATATGCATGATATGAGTAATATAACCCTGCCAAGTTTGAGCATACACCTTAGGGGGATAATAGGACTGGTCATCTGCCTCTGAATCCTCCTCTAAAGAGCTATCTGTAACCGGCAACATATCTGCTTCACCAGGTAGCATTGTCTGCTCTGAAGACCTTGTTTTCACTCCAGATTTCTCCATCCCAATTCAAATGGCTGATGCACAGGAAGAGCAGTTGAATATACAAACATTGTCGACAAAAGCAATGAGAAATAGAAAAAAGGACGACATGATATAATTCACATATATGATGCTTGGCTAAACAGCATGGCATTGCATAATTCCCCATATATAATGCCTTGCAACAAGATAGCATTGCATAATTCACATATATAATGTCTTGCAAAAAGATGGCATTGCATAATTCACATATGTGGTAATTAGACACTAAACAGGTGGCATTCACACAAATCATGTCTAAACTAAGCAAATGACATAGCAATACAAGATACCATACGCACGATATGAGCAACATAACCCTGCCAAG